CGACCGTCACCGCGAAGATCGGGTCCTAGTACGGGTTCTTCTGGCTGACCAGGTCGAGCGCGATGCTGCCTCCTCGGCCCTTAGCACCTGCGAGCCGCGCGGCCTCGGTGCGCATCGCAGCCAGCTCGGAAGGGCCCACTCCACCCACTGCGGCGCCGTGGGCCGCAGCTGCGACGTCATGCCGAGGACCCTGGCGGACGACGCCTCCGCGCAGTGGGCCGGCGGTGACTTGCAAGGGGCGCGTGGGCTCTGGGAGGCAGTCAAGCGCTATAGGCGCGACGTCGAGGACGTGGGGCTGGTGCTGCAGGTGCATATGTCTGGCTACGCGGCGTCGACGAGGCAAGGGAAGGTGGCCGCCGAGCCCTTCGCCAAGCGGGTCAGTATTGGGGCCTGTCAGCACACGCGCAACTTGGGCCACGACCTCAATTGGTCCAAGGCGCGGAGGAAGGTCGCCAGGAGCAGGCTCAAGAAGCTGCGGTCACGCATGCATTGGGCAGTGAAGCTGAAGCGGGCTGCAGGTGCCAAGATGTCGTGCCTGTAACCGCTGGAGTGCCGTGGCCGACGCCACTACCAGCACGCCATCGAGTGGGAACAGCCCGCGAGGATGCCCTAGTGCGCCACGTAGATCTTCGAGAGCGAGCCTGGTCGTCGGCCACTCGCCGAGACTGTCTCACCGACTGAAGAGCGCGGGCAGCACGCGCAAACCGATGTCACTGAACTGCCACAAGGCCCTCGGGGCAATGTAGGCCTGGCCGACGGCAGCCCGCTCCTTGAAGCTGGGCGCGGCCTTGCGAAGGTGCTCCACCCCCATCCTCGGCAGCCCGCCCCAATTGGCAAAATCGGGCGGTCTCGCCAAGGGTGGCTCATCGTGGCAGGTCCAGACGTCCGTCCACTCCTGGAGATCGCTGCCCACTATATGGCGCGGGCTGCCGCGCCCGGTGGCCCTCCGCGCCTCAGCTGCCGCTGGCAGCCTGGTGAACCCAGGCGCCGCCCTAGCGCATCCGTCTAAGCTCTTGTCGGCACAGTTGCGCCACTCCTTCTCGCGCTCCCTGTTGTAGCTCCTGGTGAGCCGCTGGGCGTCGTCAACGATCCCCTTGGCCTGCGCGCCCCGCAGGACCTGGCCCACCTGCGCGAGGCCTCCGTCGAACCACTGCACCGCGTCAGCGGGGGGCTGGCTCTTGACTCGGCCCGACTTCGCCACGTTGCCGTAGTAGCGGTGGGCCCCCGGGAGCAGCTCGGCGACCTTCTCGATGTTGCCCCTGCCGCGATGCTCGTCTCCGCGCAGGCTCGGTTCCGAAACGTGGGCGCTGCGATGGCAGTCTCCTCCTCGACTACGCACGGCGCCGCGCCCCCCCCCCCCTCCCCATGGCAAGCCGAGCGCCACCGCGCCACTTCCCACAGCGCGTAGGTCACAATCATCTGCTGCAGGACCTTCATGGCATGGCCTAGATGCGCGGGCACTGCGATGGCAATCCCCATCAGGACCGCCAACTACGCCGCCTTCATCCCCCCCAGTCAAGGCCAGCACCGCCGCCCCGTCCCTCAGCAGGTGGGTAGTGCACTTCCACCGCAGGCCCTTTCAGCGCGCGGCCTGTCGCCAGGCTCGACCGCCTGCGCGGCAAGAGGCTTCTTGCCACAGATGCGCCTGCGCCTGCCCCCCACGACGCGCACCCCCCCCGGCCAGCGCGCCGCCCCTCATGGCCGCCCGACCCCGCCCACCGCCCACGCCGCCCCTCCAGCAGCGGGGCGCTCTCCGCGCCTCACGCCAGCGGCAGCGCCAGAAGCATCCCCCTGACGCAGGCTCGCGGCGACCGCGGTGCCAAACGGGCCCGCGGGCATCGTGACAGCCACATCGGCCACGACCTCGCGAAGTACTCGGCCTGCCGCAACACGCCCTGGCCCACGTGGCGACGTCGAGCCTGGTAGCCCTGATGGCGCACCAGGACTTCGCGCTCTGACGCCCGTTGCGACGCTGCCTAGTTGCCGCGATGGCACAGTCGGACTTCGCACTCTGACGGCATGGCCCCCACCTCAGGCACGCGCCCTCCTGCAAGAACCCGAAGGGCATGCGGCGACCTCTGCGGCTCCAACGGAGCTGTGAGTGCACCACTCGGCGCTGAAGCCCCAGCCGACGACCCCGTCTGCCTCGTCGTTGCCCCCCAGCCCAAGGGAGGGGCACCCCTGACCATATGGGGGGCGTACTGGGCGACCACCCCGGCGAAGAAACCAAACCTGAAGTCGTCGAGCATGTGGGCATAGGGCGTGACGACCAGGGTCTGAATCCCTGCCCCCGCATGCCCTTCGGGACTTCGCCCAACCCAGCAGCCTCCAGCAACTTGATGAGGCGACTGCGACAGTCGCCCAGGTGCTCCGACCACCGCGCCGCCACCATGTGCGCATTCACCTTCGGGTCGTGGAGCGTTCTCTTGCGGGGCGGCTGTCATTTGGGCGGGACAAGCTTTGCGCGGCCTCGCGCCCCCTGCCCACGTGCTGCCTCCTCCCCTCGCCCACCAGGTACCAGCGATCACAGAGCTCCGCCTCCGCCGCGCTGACCACTGCGTCCCAGGCTTGCTCCAACTCGCTGGAATTGGACGCGCTGAGGGCCTGCTGGGGCGCCGTCTCCCACGCGCGCCCGCGAGGGTAGTGCGCCGCCCCCGCCGGCGCCACCGCCGCGGACCCACGCGGCTCGGCTGCCACCCGCACATCGGCCTCGCGGTCCACCGTGGAGACGCCCACGTGGACTGGGCAGCGCGGGAGCGGCGCCGCGTCGGCGGCAACCCTCGCCCCCCTCAGCCTGGGGTCGAGGTTCGGGGCCGCGATGACGCAGTCGAGGGTGGGGCCCTCGACCCCCTGCCAGCAAGCCGGCTCCAACGGCGCAGTGGGGGGGCCCCGCGCCTCCCCCAGCCATGGGCCCTTGAGACCGTCGATAGCCAGATCCCAATCCCCCAGGGCCACCCAGTCCAGCCCTCACGCGTTGAGCGCACGGAGGTCGGACCTCAGCTCGTGGGCGGCGGTGTCGCTGCTGTCGTCGCCCATGCCGACAGCGTGCCCCAGGTGCACCACGACATCGATCAGGCCCCCCATCACCCCCCAGTGGACATGGCCTGCGAGCATCCTCGCCAACTCGAGGGTCGGAGCGGGCACGAATGGCGAAGCAGTGACAGTGATGACGTTGCGCGTGAGGAGCGCCACTCCACCAGACACCTCCAGCGCCCCCTCGCCTGTGGCCTGGCCTGGGGCACGCAACCCGCGGTTGCCCAGGCCGCGCCCCTGGCCTTGCAGCGAACTCAACATGTCACCGCGGGCCCTGCGCTCCTGCACCGCGAACAGATCCCTGACAGAAGTGTCGGCGAGGTACTCCGCCAGCCCTCTCCCGCATGAGACAGTGACCGTGGCCAGCACTCCTTCGACGGTGCTCGACTCACCCGCCGTGCCTACTGCTGCTGTAGCTTGCGTCATTACAATTACAACGAAAAGACAAACCTCAACCTGCACCTTCCTGCCTTAGTACGCCCTGTAGGCCCACTGGCGAGCAGCTGCTGCCATCTTGTGTGCCAATGTCCTGATGGCACGTTCGTCCCCAGGAACCTCCACCCCTGCTTCGCTGAGGCTGGCCCACAGCGTCCCGATGGGCGCCTTGTCCGCGGCACACTTGAGACGCTTGGGGCCAGGCGCCTGCCCCCCAGCTTCGCCAGGGACCTCACCAGGAGCAGGCCGAGTGCGCTCATCAGCAGGTGGCGGGGCCAACACCTTCTCGGCGAGCTCTGGGTGGCCCAGGGCGCGTTCCGTGACCTCGCCCGTGGCGCCGGGCTCCTTGAGCAGCGCCGCCAGGCCCTCCAAGTTGAGGTCAGGGCCCTTCTCAACGGGGGTATCCTTCTCGTCTGGCGGCTAGGGAAACACGGCGTTGAGGTCCCGCATCTTCGCCTCCAGCTCCACCTCCTCGACCCGCAGCGCCTTGCCCCGCTCGCGCTCGTCCTCGGCATTGGCGACCACCTTCTCATGCTTGACGATCCTATCCTGCTTCGCCTTGAGCTTCCTCTGCAGCGCCACCAGCTGGATGAGGACAGGCTTCTTCGAACGGACCTCCTCCAGCAGTTTGGACCTCTGCTCGTCCAGCCTGTCAATGGTGTCCTTCTTGTACTGCGACGGCGTTTGGATGCCCCGCAGGCTCCGCAGCTCCTCGTCGAACTGCTCCAGGGCCTTGCGTTGGGCTTCATTGGCGTCACCCCTTGCCTTTGTTGGCAGCCCGCAGCACTTTGACCTCCGCCCGCGGCCTTGCCATCTCCTTTTGACGGATCCTTGGGCGACCTGCAAGTAGCTCGGTCGAGCCCCGCTTCCAGCTCCACCAGCAGCACCTGGGCCGTTGGGCGGGCGGCGACGAGGGACCCTTTTCATCCCAACAAACCCTCCCAAGGAAGGCCACGGCCTTGTCGACCCCGCAGAAGTGGCACTGCTTCTTCGCCCCGAACGTGACGCTCGGCATCCCGAGCTGGGGCCCTCGCTCGTACTTGCAAAACTTGCAGTACCAGTCGGGCGTCGGCTCGGTGCGGCCCCCAGGCGCCATGGTCCCCCGCCCGTACCCAAGAGGTACACATCAAGGCTGGCCACAGAGCCACAAGCCACGACGAGCGCGTGTTCACCTGCGGGCAGCAGGAGGCACCCAAGGACCTGAGGCGGATCAGGCCGTGGCGAGAAAAGTTTGGAACTGGCCGCGGACTAGCGGTATCCGCGGCTTGCTCCCAGGGGGAAAAGCAGCTTGAGCCAAAATGGCGACGGAGGAGGAGGATGACCAGAATGAGGAGGAGGAGGAAGAGGAGGAGGAGGAGGAGGAGGAGGAGGAGGAGGAGGAGGAAGAAGAGGGAGGAGGAGGAGGAGGAGGAGGAGGAGGAGGAGGAGGAGGAGGAGGAGGAGGAGGAGGAGGAGGAGGAGGAGGAGGCGTGGCCCGCGAGGCCGCGGATCTGGGCACGTTTCCCCGCGCGCGCCGCCTCGCCAGCAAGCGCGGCCAGGGCGCGCACGGCGTCGGCTGCAAGGCCGGCGTCCTCGCGGACGACTGCCGATCCGACGGCCTGGACGGCGGCGCCGGCTGCGGCGTCGAACGGCGGCCTCGGCGTCTTCGGCAACGACTCCGACTGCACGGCGAGGGTGTTGCTTAGGGAACCCATGGATAAGGAATCCAAGGTCTGGGAGCTGGTGGAGCATCACGTGAGGCTCGGCCGTGGATGTTACCGCCGCCCTCGTCAGATACGGATTCCTCCAAGGTCTGTAGCCTCCTGGACCCCGCCGTCGTCGGAGGGCGCTCACCGCCGTCGTCGTCGTCGTTGTCGTAATCGTCGTCGTTTTCTACGTTGTCGACGTCGTCGTCGATGTCGTCGCCAACGTCGTCGTCGAAGTCACGGACGTCGTCCTCGACGTCGCCCTCGGCGTCGCCACAGACGCCCGGACCGATCCCTGAGCGCGTTTTGACCCAGATGTCGAGGGAGCCTGGTCTGTGGCTGCGAGGGCGCTCCGTGGAGGCCCACCTCAGCTCCCAAACGCGCCCACAAGCACAGGGAAGTGTATGCGGTTGGGGCGCTCGTCGGCGCCCCTCGGCGGCCACGGGCGGCGGCGAGGCGGTCGCCTCAGTGAGCGGGCGCGCGCGCAGCGAAACACGGGCGCGACGACGACCCGACGTCGTTCGAGGTGTCTTGGACGCTATTGGCCACCCCTCTCGGGAAGGCAGGGACGCCCTGCTTGCGCGGAATCGGCCACCAGGCAAGCGCCCTTGGACCCCCGTCGGCATCATCATCATCATCATCATCATCATCATCATCATCATCATCATCATCATCATCATCATCATCATCATCATCATCATCATCATCATCATCATCATCATCCAGCCACATCTGTGGCGGCGACGACACGGCATGGACGACCCCCGATGGCCTGCAAGGGTGCCCGGGAGGTATCCAGAGGCACACGGAGGCCCACAAAGAGCAGACGTGGTCACAGCAAGAAAACAATCCTAACGGCGCGCGCAGTGGGGGTGTCGCGATGGGGGCCGTGTAGGAAGCCTGGGGGGCTTCTCATAAGGCAGGGCTTCTTAGCAGCCATCACGGCTCCTCGGAAGCCCTCTCAGAAGCCTCCAGGCCATTCGAAGAAGGCACCTCGCCTCCAGAAGCGTTCCGCCTTCTTGGAAGGCTACACCCATCCTCGCGCCGCCCACCCTCGCACCAACCGTCCCCGCCCCTCCCCCTCGGAGCAGGGCAGGGCGAGACAACGGCAGCTCCCAGTCGGGACCTCTCCTGGGGCCCAAACACGCACAATCTTTCCGAGCCGCGTCCAGCCGTGGCGACTATAGGGGCCACCCGACGGCCAACTACCGCTGTCTCAACTGGCCCTCCCCTGACCACCCTCGATCCAGCGATCCTCCGTCGATGGACCGACGGCGGTACCACTAGCGCTGCCCGCGCGCGTCCTCGGTGCTCGCGTCGGGCTCGGCGGCAAGCACGGCCGGCACCGCGGCCAGGAGGCCGAAGACTGGGTTGCCGCAGTCCCTGCGACGCCCATCGCTGATGCCGTCGACGCCGCACTTTGTCGCCGTCGCGACGCTGGACGACGGCGGCGGCGGCAGCGGCTGTGGCGGCGACGGCGCCGCCGCCGCAAGCTTGCGACGGCGGCGCGGCCCTCTTCATGCCCACGGCGGAGCTTGACGTGCCCCGCCGAGGCCCTGGCAACGCCTCTGGCAACGAGGATGTCGACAGCGATGGCGACGGCGACCGAGACGGCGACTGCGGCGGGGGCGACGGTAGCAGCGGCGACGGCGCAAGCACCGCCATCAACGGTGGGCCCGGCCTCCTCCACGCGCCCCCGCTGGAGCGGACGACGCCGACGAAGACGTCGGCAGCGACGCCGACGGCAACGGCGGCGGCGGCGACGGCGACGGCGACGGCTACTTCGACGACGGCGACGGCGCCGTCGACGCCGCCGTCGACGACGAGCGCGGCCTTCTCCACGCGCCCTCGCCGGAGCGGACGTGCCCGAGCAGCCGCCCGCAGAGCCACCGCGCCGTCGGGCGGTGCCCCACCTCCGCCGGCCCGGCAGCGTGCAGGGCCCGCAGGGCGCGCAGCTGGCTCGCCAACTGCCTGCGGCGGGCGGTCGCGGCGACGACAGCGACGACCGCGGCAGCGTCGGCGGCGACTGCGGCGGCGTCTGCGGCGGCGGCGGCGACTGTGGTGGCGGCGGCGACTCGACGGCGGCGACGGCAGATGGCACGACGGCCGCCTGCGGCGGGCGACGGCGAGGACAGCGACGTCAACGACGACGACTTCAACGCCGAAGGCGACGCCAACGATCACGACGACTCGATGGCGGCGCCGGCGGTGCCAATCGAAATGCTGTATATATACATAGAGAGAGAGAGAGAGAGAGAAAAAAAAAAGAGAACCCAAACAAATGACAGGAGGGGTGAAATATAGAAAGGATAAAAAGAGATAGAGAGAGAGAGAGAGAGAGCAAAGGATCATATGTTAGCCAGCGTAGACGCCAAACAATATACATATGGCCATACATGTTGTGCAATCTACGTCGAGCAATCGATGCGGCGCAATCGATGTGGTGATAAATAATACTATATATATATATGTATATGTTGTGCAGTCTACGTTGGCCAATCTATGTCGTGCAATGCAGGCTGTACAATCTATGTAGAGCAACATAGTGGTGCAATGTATGTGGTGAAATCTCTTGCACACGATTGCCATGCAACGGAAGGACGGGGACGGTGTGAGGTGCCACGGGGCGGCGGAGACGGGCGGCGGCGAAGGCAACAAGCGTGTCGATCGACACCCAGGCCCAGAAGCAGCGGCGAAGGAAAGCAGCGACGGGCGTCGACGGCGGCAACTAGCGCGGCGACAGACACCCACCGGCGACAGACTGACACCCAGGCCCAGAAGCAGCGGCGACGGACGGCAGCGACGGGCGTCGGCGAAGGCAACTAGCGCGGCGACTGACACCCAGGCCCAGAAGCAGCGGCGACGGATAGCAGCGACGGGCGTGAACGGCGGCAACAAGCGCGGCGACTGACACCCAGGCCCAGAAGCAGCGGCGACGGACGGCGTCGACGGCGGCAACAAGCGCGGCGACTGACACCCAGGCCCAGAAGCAACAGCGACGGCCGGCGACGACGGTCGGCGACGGCGGCAACGAGCAAGCCGGACCGACACCCAGGCCCAGTTTCCTTAGAGCAAGAGGTAAGAACTCGTAATTGCAAGCACTGCTCGAGGAATGTAGATACATTAGCAGGAGACCATAAGGGGTTCCACCTTGACATCCTCCTCTCTCCTCGTCCCCTCTCGCCCCAGGACAGAGGGAACGGGCAGGATAATGACGAGGACAAGGGAGAGGACGACCACGTCGACGACGAGGACGAAGAGGACAACAAGGAAGATAAGAAGAGGGGATGGGGGCGGAACCCTCGAGGATGAGGATACAAGAAACGCGTCGTAAGCGTAAACTGCCTGAGGGCTGGGCTCATCTCTTGGATCGGCCATGGACCCCCTCCAATGGCATGCAAGGCGTCACCGAGCCGCTGACATGTCTTCGCCGTCGCCTGCTGATGATTGGGCACGACCGTGGGGGGTGACTCGCCCAGGGAGGAAGCATCGACCTGGAATCGGCGATGCCTCGCCGATGATCGGCGATGTGCCTCCGTCTGCGAGGCTGTCAGGCTGCTGTCGGCGATGCGTGGACGATCGAAGGTCGATGCGTCTCCTCCGAGCCCACCCCCTTCGCTGATCCTCGTCATCCGGCAGCCGCTCGGGACGACTACGACATCCTCCGAGCATTCCCGACGAGGCGCGGCTAATGGAAGCCGCCCCGGCTCCGACAACTCATGAAAACTCGAGAACACAATCAAAACAGCCCGATCACTCTCGAAACTCTGGCGCGGAATTGGACTGCCATGCGTGACCTGCCCCAGATCAGGAGCATACCGTAGACGGATCTACCGTTCCTCCGACATTGTACTGCGCCGAACGCAGCGGCTGCTCTGTCTGTAGACGTCCCCACCCCGAATGTGTCGATATACGTAACGGCACCCAAGACTCTTGTGGCGAGAAGGCGAGAACGGTATTTGATATAGGCCCCAAGTGTTGCTCTTCCAGAATCAGGTAGACTTAAGTCGGGCACGTCCCTCTACAGGAGGAATATTCAAACATAGTCAGAAAATAGTCCAGGGACGATGTTTGGACTACTATTGGCTAGTTTTCAATATTCTTGACCATCTTGCATTTTTCTCCTAAGATGCGCCTGTGCCCGACCTAAAGGTAGACTTAGGTCGGGCATGTCCCCTACAGACGGATTTTGGACGACGAATGAACAGTGTCAAAACATGCAAGATAGCCAGAAATAATAAAACGAAAATCGTCCCCAGACTATATTTAGATGATTGATGAACATTCCTCCTGTAGGAGGACGTGCCCGACCTAAATGTCGACTTGGCCCTCCAAGTGCAGAGGACGGACCGCCACGCGGCCAGGGCGGCGGGGGCGGCGGGCACTCCGCCTGTCTTCCAGCGCGTCCGCCGTGCTCGCGCCGCCGGGGGCCTCGGGCGGCAGAGGGGCTTCGGCGGCCTGGAGGCCTGGAGATCGGCACCGGCACCAACACGGAGGGGCTGCGCTGCCTCCACCGCAGGGCGATGCTCATCCTAGATGCCAGTGCTGGTGTGAATCTTTCGGCCGCCCGTCCAGGAAGCTCGAATAGGTTCACCATCACCGAGATGGGGGTCATCTTTTTCTCGGTGGGGGCAACCACCGATGTATGCCTAGGTTGCCTTACTTCGCGCATCTCGCCCCGCGCTGCGCGACCATCTTCGCGCCCTCGCGCCGACGCAACGCGCCGCGGCCCTGGAGAAGGGCAGCTCTCCGGCCCACGCCGCGACGCGCGCTTCTCTGTGCGCCCCTTGGGTGGCCGCGGTGCTGGTGCCGGCGCCAACCGCTGCTAGGGAGCTGGAGACGTGCACACGCGCGGCTGGGCTCACGCGCAGGACACCCTGAGGCCGTGTGCTGGGCACACGTGTGGAAGCCCAGCGCGCCCTTGCCATAGTCAGGAGGAAAAAAAACACACAGACACAATCAATCGTCGATTGCCCCGAAAATATAAGAAAATATGGGAAGTTGGGGGGGAGACAAAAACCCCGAAAATATGGGAAGCTATGGGGAATATTTTCATTTGTGTGTATTTATTTGTGTGTCCTGGGGCTCCTTGCCATAGGAGGGCCGAGCGCTGGGCAAACAGCGCGGCCACACGTGCACCCAGCTCCCGCCCCAGCGGCCGGCCGCGCCACGCGCACCCGCGCGGCGGGCGGCCGCAGCCGGCCGAGCGAGGAGGGCGCTGCGAGGGCTGCGGCCGCTGCGCGTGCCGGCTCGGCCGCGCGTGCCCGGCGACCGCGCCCGACCGCGCCCCGGCATAGAAGCCCCCGCGCGCTCGGCCGCGCGCGCGGGAGTGCTCTGGCCAGCACCTCCTCGCGCGCGCGCGAGGGCCCGCTCGCGGCGGGCGCCTTGTCCTGGACGAGTTCGCGCGGCGGGGGCAGAAAGGCACGCCGGGAGGCCTCGGGTCGCCCTCGGCCCCCGAAGGCCCCCCAGCCTGGCCCCCGGGGCCGCCCGAAGCCGAGTGGGGCCGAGGAGCGACCCTCGGCGGGAGAGGGCCGGAGCTCCCCGGAGACCCCGCAGTGAAACAATCAAGACATCCGACTTCTGGGGCCGCCGTCGACGTCCTCGTCGTGTACAGCACCGTGCTGGGCACGACGAGGACGGCGGCGGCGAGGAGGACGGCTTCGCCGAGGAGACTGGCAGGGGCAGGGACGACAAGGAAGAGTCGCTGGGGAGGAGGGGAAGGGAATGAGGGGAG